TAATTTTGGTTCATTGAAATAACCCACCAAGCCAGCCTTCCTTTTGTGAGGAGTCAATTGTCTGAAACTAACAGTGGCCTGTTTAAAAATTAGATGGTTTGAGGGGAATGAGTTCTAGCAGTGTGCAAACAAAATAATTAATTTTTAATTGATGATACATTTTAAAGGAAGAGAATGGAAGCATTCCATCCCATTGTTGTTCCTTGAGTTAAATGTCTTACCACTCTATCACACTGAATCTTCTTTTTCAATAGTTACTGGGTAAGAAATTATAAGATTTTCTATGAGTTATAAGTTTACATTATATATGCAAACATTTACAATTTATCCAACAAAAAATATGCTCCTGCATACTTTAAGTATATTTAAGGCATAATAATGTTCAAGCTAGGAAATAGATTGCTTAATATTTTATTTGAAGATTAAACAGACTGCAAATTATGGTTCATTTAGAAATCCTGACCCAATGGAATATTATAAGTACAGTTAATGTATCTATGTTAATCATTCTGTTGTTATCTATATTCGAAGTTGTGATGGTTGAACCATGAAATGGATAAACAAAAAATGTCAAACTCCGAATCAGTGTTCAATGTGTCTTGAGACAGGATAAGACACAAAGTGTCCACGTCCAAATTGTAAAAAGAGTGGGTTTCCTGAACATTGATGAAGGTTTTCCCTATTCCTCTCATAATTAGATTGCAGTATATTCTACCTCTTCCATGGTTCTCATTATTGGTAGAATTTCAAGCAACTGCTCATTGCTCGCCTCTTTCAGTTGATTAAGGCAAAGGTTTTTTGATTTTTGGCATGTTAAAAACGTGCCAATCTAAAAAGGTCAGCTAAGATGGCTGTTTTTATGTAGTGATATTACCAGAGTATAGAAACTCTAGAAACATTGTCAATGATTCCTCTGACACGCCTGATACACGGATAATTTAAGGCGCGACAGCCTATTGCGAAAAGACCTCCTCTTCAATCATATTGTTAAAAAAGGACCTTTTTGAGCCTTGCACAAGTTTGTGGACTGGGATTATTTTGTGGCCTATTTTAAAGGCCATGTCACATAGTTTCTCTTGTTGAAATTTGTCCACAATATAATGTCCCAACTGGACAAAGTGCTGATTAGGGACATCGGTAGGATCCAATTCTCTCTTAGAACTTAATGGTAAAGTAATTTAAGCAGTAGAAGAGTTCTTTTCTTGACATTAGAGGGAATCTTATATAGGACACAATCTTTTCTATACATGTATACTGAATTCTATATTCAAAGTCTTGATGATTTATCCATGATATTGCTTAGCAAAAAAATGTCAAACTCTGAATCCGTGGTCAATTTGTTCTGTGACATGATAAGACACAAAGTGTTCACATCCAAATTGAAAAAAAGAGGAGGTTTCCTTAACATTGATGAAGTTTTTCCCTAATTCCTCTTATGATCCTCAAAGTATTCTTCTTTTTCGCTCTCATTATTGGTAGAATTTCGAGCAACTGCTTCTCGCCTCTTTCAGTTGATTAAGGCAAAGGTTTTTTAGCTCACCGGAGCCAAAGGCTCAAGTGAGCTTTTCTGACCAAAATTTGTCTGGCGTTGGCGTGTTTTATTTTCATCTTCTTCTCAAGAACCAATTGGGCAATTTCAACTAAACTTGCCACAAATTATCCCTGGGTAAGAGGATTCAAGTTTGTTCAAATAAAGGGCCCTATTCCAAGGGGAGATAATTATGAATTAGTGAAAAAATAGGAGGTATAGATTTAAGTTTGTTCAAATACCTCCACCCCTTCCCCTGAACCCACTTTTAAACTTTTCAATACTGAATTTCTTTTTGCTTTTACCTAGCTAGTTGCTCAGGTGAGTGATGTGGCCCCTGGGCCTCTTGTTTTATTTTTGGCAGTTTACTTTCACCAGTGTATAAAAACCAAAAATGTTCTTGTTTGAAACAGAGCAATCCACAATCAATCTTAAAGATACTGTGCAATCATTAGATTTTATGGTGGCTCAGTTTTTGTTCAGTTCATTGGGAACTCTTTGTCATGAGTTTATGACTTCAGCAAATTAATAATTTAGGGTTACAAAGTCAAAATTCCTTTTGTAGGAATAAGAAAATACACAAAATTACCCGCTACGTTTCCACAAACCTGTAAAATTTAAGCAATCTGCGAAAATTGTCTCCCATAAATTCATTTGATTCCACAGTACAATGTATACAATCTATCAACAATGTCAAGTCTTGTTTTAAATATAAATTATATTGATTATGTAGTACATTTTGGTGCCTGTACAACTACTTACATATGTATTCCAGTAATTCTACAATTTTCTTAAGAGTATAAATAATTTTCTATATCAGTGTCCATAGTTTCGTCTCTCACTGAGTGTCAATGATTATCCATATTAGGGTTGGTGCAGCTGATTTGTTAATATGTCATTAATATTTGTTAAAAAAATATTTGTATACATTGGACGTATGATTTATTGTGCATATAAAGTTTCTTGCCTCAATTTTATATGCTCTTTATTTTCATTTTGAGCTGTATTGGTCTGAAAGACTAGAAGAGTTTATGTTTTAGTAATGTGTCAGTCATCTGACCTTTCTTGCCGTCTGTTCCCAATTTTTCATTAAGATTACCTGAGCTGAAAGCTCAAGTGAGCTATTCTGATCACCCATCGCCCATCTGTATGTAAACTTTTCACATTTACCCGACCTGTTCCTGCAGCTATAAGAAGGAGTAGGTGGGATGTTGCCCGACTTTTCTCTGCCTAGTGGATAAGGGGGTGGTGTGTCACTTCTTATGCTCAATGACAGAGGGGTGAGGGAGAAGTTCCCAGACTCCTTGGTGTCTACTCTCACTAAAATAGCAGTCATAATTATACCACCGCAAACAAAGTTTAGGGGGGTCGGGGGTATATTGGAATCAGCTTGTCTGTTTGTCTGACGGAATAAGACACAAAGTGTCCACATCCAAATTGAAAAAAGAGGGGTTTTCTTAACATTGATGAATTAAGTTTTTCCCAATTCCTCTCATGATGATATTGCAGTATTCTTCTTCTTCCATAGCTCTCATTATTGGTAGAATTTCAAGCAACTGCTCATTGCTCGCCTCTTTCAGTTGATTAAGGCAAAGGTCTTTAATTTTTTCGACGTGAAAAACGTGCTAATTTCAGAAGGTCAGCAATGACGGCTGTTTTGATGTTGATTGTTCCAGAGTACAAAAACTCGAGAAACATTATCACTGCCTCCTCTGACACACCTTGTGCAAGTATAATTTTAGGGGAGACAGCCTCTTTAGGAAATTTAAACAGGTTGTTAAAATAATAGCTGCAGATCTGTAGCTTTATGGTTTTATATATATGTCTTTGACCATAACACTACAGATCCCGTGATTAAAAAAAGGTGCAATTTATGGCACGATACTTTTTGCACACTTTTAAGGAGAATTTCTCCACTTTCCAGCATCAATCAATTGAATTAACTACCTTTCACTCCCAATATCTAGGCACATTATTTAGCTAAATCTGTATATCTTATCCATCTCTCAACCCTTTATACTCATCTCTACAAGTGATAAACTGAGTGCTTGATTAGAATTATTTGTTAGAATGCTGAAAATTCACTTCAAGCATGTTTATTGCCTGTAGAGACAACTATAAATGCTTGGGAGGTGGATAAAATATACATATTGGCTACAAAATGTGTCTATAATTAGGGAGTGAAAAGTAGTTGATTGACTAATGCTAGAAAATGGAGAAATTCTCCCCAAAAGTTTGCAAAAAATATTTCGCAATAAATTGCACTTTTTTTGCATTACAGGATCTGTAGCGTTATGGTCATATAAAACCATAATGATACAGATCTGCAATTATTAAAATAAGGGCTTTGTCAACTCGTCAAAAGTTTTTGAACTGGAATTATTTTTCACCTATTTTGAATGCCATATTGCATATTTGCTTCTGTTGAAATTTGTCCACTATGTAAGGACTTAACTGGGCAAAATGGTGAACAGATGGATCCAATTCTCTTCCAGAGCGTAATGGAGAAGATTGTGTGGTGTTATATCTGGACTGCTGCCTGGTAACTGGAGGACTGCTGCTCCCATAGCTCCCATAGCTTAAGGGAGGTGGAAGTGGATTACTGCATCTAGACTGGATGCTACAACTTGAAGGAGTGATGCACCCAGATCTTGATGGGGTAGGAGGAGATGGACTATTTTGCTTGAGCAGGTGCTGTGCCCGGATCCTGTTGGGGCAGGAGGAGGCATGCTATCACTTGAACGGATGCTGTGCCCAGATTCTGATTGGACAGGAGGAGGCATGCTATCACTTGAGCAGGTGCTGTGCCTGGATCCTGATGGGGCAGGAGGAGGCATGCTATCACTTGAGCAGGTGCTGTATTTGGATCCTGATGGGGCAGGAGGAGGCGTGCTATCACTTGAGCAGGTGCTGTGCCTGGATCCTGATGGGGCAGGAGGAGGCGTGCTATCACTTGAGCAGGTGCTGTGCCCCGATCGTGTTGGGGCAGGAGGAGGTGTGCTATCACTCAAACGGGTGCTGCACCTGGATCTTGATGGTACAGGAGGAGGCGGCCTTTTGTGTGTAAACTGCATGCTAAGACTTGAGCAGGTGCTGTGCCTGGATCCTGATGGGGCAGGAGGAGACATGCTATCACTTGAACGGGTGCTGCACCTGAATCATAATGGGGCAGGAGGAGGCACGCTATCAGTTGAATGGATGCTGTGCCCAGATCCTGATTGGGCAGGAGGAGGCGTGCTATCACTTGAGCGGGTGATGTGCCCAGATCCTGATTTGGCAGGAGGAGGCGCGCTATAACTTGAGCGGGTGCTGTGCCCAGATCATGATGTGGCAGGAGGAGGCGAGCTATAACTTGAGCGGGTGCTGTGCCCGGATCCTCATGGGGCAGGAGGAGATGGTCTATTGCACCTAGACTGCACGCTTTGACTGGAATTAGTGCTGTGCCCGGATCCTGATGGGGCAGGAGGATGCCTGCCATAACTTGAACGGGTGCTGCACCTGGATCCTGATGGAACAGAAGGGGGTGGGGTACTATTGCCCGACCTGTTCCTGCAGCTATATAGGAAGGAGTAGTTGGGATGTTGCCCGACTTTGCCTTGCTCAATGGACGAGGGGATGGTGTTTTACTCCTTTTTTCTCAAAGGCAGAGGGGAAAGGGAATAGTTCCCAGACTCTTTGGTGTCTCTTCTCACTGAAATAGCAGTCATAATTATACCCGTGCAAACGAAGTTTAGTGGGGTATATTGGAATTAGCTTGTCTGTTTGTCTGTCTGTATGTCTGTAGATGAGATTTTGTCTCTCAGAAACTATTGGTATGAAAATTTGTACACTTAATATTCACCTTATGAAGGTGTGCACCTGGTATTTTCATCACAATGGGCTGCTTTTTCCGCATCTTCGGACCATTTCTCGGAAACTACTGCAAGGATTTGTCTGAAAATTTGTACACTTACTATTCACTATATGAAAGTGTGTATGTACTTGGTATTTTCAACATTATTTGTTGATTTTTCTACATTTTACAGGTATTTTTTTTTATTTCTATTGACTTGGTCATTTTGGGTTTATGCGTAAGGTTTGAGGCATAGAATCTAGAACATTGGTACATTAGTCAAAATGTGAACAACAGCTTAAAACCGCTCAATAAAACTAAAAAAAATCATCAGTTGTTAAAACAGATTTCACATGTAAATCCATTTGTCCCTTGGGATTAATAAGTGGACATGCATCCATTTAAAGAAAAATTAATGAGTTTGGTGTGAGAAGTTGGGAAAGCATCTCTGATCAAGCATGTGTTATCTATATCTTCCGGGAATATGGCAAAAAAAAAATTGAAGATCTCTCTTCTCTAATTCTCTTAATTGTAATTTATTGTCTGTCAAAGGACTTAATTACTGGATGACCAACTTTCTAATTTTAAAATGATTTTGATATTAAGTTATCGAGATTAATTTGATTTTGTATAATATGATTTTCTTTTTAACAATCAATTTGCAGAGTATCATGACAAATAATTGTAATTTGAAATCTTTTCACTGAAATAAAAAAAAAACTATTACAGCGTATTAGTATAGATGTTTTATTTGGTTGCACGTTAGTTTCATTCTTTAATAAAAATATAATGAACAATAATTGACTTTCAAATCTTTTCCATACCTACTCATACATGTACCTATGACTTTTCATACCAACTTAACCAATATCCAAGTTTTTGAGGGGGAGAGGGGGTCCAAGGTCACTTACTTTGCAAAGTATATAAATTTAGTAACTCTGCAGATCCGCGCCTTGCTATTTGGTTAGTCGATAAAATACATTTTACATAGTATGATTTTATACGCCAAGTAACGTATCCCTAAAAATAACATCTCTGTGCATCATATATGTATGTAAAGTTATTAACTTTTTCCGATTTTTTTCTGTAACACAATGAGCGAGTAGACTAAAATTTTAATTGAAATATTAATTTTGATCAGTGTAATATTGATGTATTAAAACAATTGTGTTAGGAATAATTTTATAAGTACTGTCAGTGTATATAACAACGGACATTTACCCTAGCTTAATTATGAACTTGTTTACAAACACTACAGTACGAGATTGGTTATGATAAGGAGAACGTCTTCATTTAACGGACAATTTGTTTTTACGATGTGTTGTTCACCAACATTGACATTTCCAATCAGACTTATGAGAAAAATGCACCGATCTAATTTACCAAAGAATGTGCAAGTCCTCCGTTTTTCACATAAATAAAGGGCATTGTAGTATCCTATAAGGGGAGACAGAACCTTCGTGAGGGGCAGACTATATCTGTGTTAACATGGTTAATGAAGTGACTCTCTAATTAACTAATTGTTGTGACCAAATACTAGTATGTGATTCCCCTCTTATAAAAAGTTGTGTACACTGGGTATCAATAGCTTCACCATCTTGGCTCCGGGATCTAATTAATACTACGGTATATTATATCAAAAGAATTAATTTAATGCATTGGCAATGCAATTCAGTCTAAGAGAAAAACAGAAAGAGGTAATCTTTTTTACCGTCAATTAAACTTTTCATGTACCATTGTTTTTGCAATTGTGACATTACAATATAAACTATAAACTAACAAAAGTCTTCTTAATCCAAACACATTGACAAATTGTGTTATATTTCTTTGATCTCAAAAAACGTATCAATGTATCAACAAATGATAACAAGTACTATATATAATTCATATCTCTATATATACATGTAGTAAAAATTCAAACATTGAGTAAAATATTTACTTACTTGACCATAGACCCAGAAATTATTCAGTCTTGAAGCACTTTATGCGTCCGGCGGCAACAAAGTTTGAAAAAGCTATTTTTAGCATATAGGTCACAGTCAAGGTCACAAGGTCATTGACCTTGGGTGTCATTAGAAAGAATAGTGGAGTATGCATACTAAATATGAAGTCTGTATCTTCCACGGTTCAAAAGTTATGG